TACAGAAACCTTGCTTTACCGTACTCAAAAGGCATTAAGAGATGTGATTTAGAGCATGCTTGTGACAGGAACAGTTGCTTTTTGATCTTCTAGGAGAGGGAAGGAGATTTTAGGTATTTGTGCATGGAGAAACCAGGCTTGGAAGACAGCTACAATCCATCTGACCTGAGAGGGAAGCTCCTGTTGAGATTGAGCTACTGCAGTCAAGTGAGGGAGCTATGAGAAAAGCTGTCTGAGTCCTTGGTAGGGATGAAGGGAGTAGGGGTGGTGAGGGCTTTGAGAAGTGTCTGTGCTTCTTTTTGTGATTATGGTTGCCACCCAGAGGCCGCACTGTCCCCCTTTAGTGGCTCCAGTTCTTAATCAGTCTGCAGACCCTTGTAGGCCTAGGGATGCTGACAGCATCTTGCTATTGCTAGTCTCTGGGTGCCTCAGCTTTCCTTATTGATTCCCTTAACCCTTGCTGCTTTGTTAAAAAGCCTCTTCAAAAGTCACAGTTGAAGATGCAGCCTCATTCCTGCTGGATGTGCCTGTTAGAGCAGAGAAAGCAGAAGTCAGCGCAGGCCAGCAGCTGAGTCACTGAGGTTAGCACGACCCCCTTCAGCAGGCAGATGGAGTCCAAAGTCCAGAGATCTGGTAGCAGGCACCAGACAACTAAAGACAGGATATCTAGGCAGTGTCTGCACAGTAGGCATTGAGGGTGCCAGGCTTTTGGCCACAAGTCAACATCTTCCCAAGTGGAGCTTATTTATATGCTTCCTTTTGGTGGCCCAGATTGGTCTTAATATATGTGTGTGTTGGGGGAAGGGTGAGAAGTAGGGACTAAGGCTGCTCTGTACAGAATCTTGAGAGGGGAGGCCTTTGGACCAACACACACTGTGCTTAGCAAAACTAATTCCTGCTCACTAAACCAGAAGTTCTGAACTATGGGTAGGGTGTCAAGGAGATTGTTGTGCATGTGTGCTTTTTCCTCAGGTGCGGTACATGTGTGTATGTCTATGAATTCCCTCAAAGATAAATAACAAAAATAATAACAGCCAACATTTATGAGTGCTTGCTAGGTGTCAGTCAGTGTTCTGAGTGCTTTACTTACATCGGCTCTTTTAATCCTGGCAACAGCTCTATTAGGTGGGTACTAACATTATGCCAGCGTTCCAGATGACACTGACACAGAGAGATGAAGCCAGAGGTCTCAGTCAGGAACCCTGTGAGTGGGGAAGAACCCAGGTAGTCTGGTTCGAGAGTCTGTTGTACCCCCCCCCCCCCCC